CAGGACCCTGAGATCATGACCTGAGCCAAAGGCAGACACCCAACCCTCTGAGCCCCTGAATTGTTAAAGTTTTAAAAATCAATGCATAATAGTCATCTATGCAGACTGAATGCCTATGAGTCCTGGATATCTGAGGTTTCCTTGTTTGCATGGGGGGACAAATAAGCCCCATCCACGCCTGGGGCCATTATCTGGCTCCAGCTCTCTGGCCCTTTCACCCACCCCAGGAGGAAAGCTGTAACCATTCAAGCAGACAGAAGGGCCTTTTATGAAAAGAAATGCCCCTCCCCGCAAGCCTGTGGGGACCCTCCCACTCCTGCTTCTCACCTCACAGTAATGGAGGCCACCGCTGGGCCTCGGGGAGGTGAGCATTTCTGTTAAGAGCAGATCTAAGGAAAGTCTATTTGGCACTAAGAGGTTTTTCATTTTGTTTTATTCTGGGCAGTGGGATGGGGGGTGGGGGGACTTGCCTATTGCTTTTTTTTTTCTTTTGGTTTCAATTTATTCACAAACGATTTCAAACATACTAAAAATAATACAATGGACTCTCCCATACACCCACATGTAGTTAATCAACCATGATGATTAAATAGATATCAGTATTTGGACACTTCTAATTCAGAACCTCTCCCTGCTGGTACATTCTCTTTCTTAAAGAAATAAAGTGTTATAAATCCCACCGAGGACAGTCCCCATCTCTTCCTCTGCCTTTCACCTCAGGAGCAGCCTACACATTTCTGTATTTATTTTTTTTTTTTTTACTATATTTGTAGCATCCATAAACAATATAAATGGCCATTTTGTGTTTTTAAAATATGCACAGTTTTGTGTACATATCATTTTGCAAATTGCCTTTCCTGCTCCACATTATTTCTTCTGAGATTCACCCATGTTGTTGCCTAGAAATATTATTCATTACGTTAATGGCTGTATTCTAGTTTTTGTAGAAATCCCAGTTTAGCCATTCTCCTTCTGAAAAAACCACTGAGTGGTTTTCACATTTTTTGCTACTGTAAATAGTGGCTTCAGTAAACATCTTTATACATGTCTTTGTAAGCACATGGTCACGAGTTTCTGGAGGGCAGACAGCCAGCCATGAAATTGCTGTGTGGGTGCTAGCTTTCTAGGTAATTTTTAGCAGGTGACACCCACTCTGCTGTCACTTCCTCAGTAATGAAATGGGACACCGGTTTAGGACACTGTAGGTCCTTCATAGAGAAATGTGAAAACTTAGTATTTTAAAATAATAATGTTAAGAGTGCTTCCAATACCTTAGAAGAAAAAAACAAATGTCCCTAATTGTTTTAGAACTTAGACCAGTGATATAATAGAAATTGTGGAATTTTAGAACGTTCCTCGCCCTAAAGATGATCCAGTGCCCCTGGACCCCTCACCTTACAATGGTCATTTAGATTGTGACCCTTTCTCAACTCAGGTCCCAAACCCACAGGGCTTCCCCTACCCCTGCCCCCAAGCTTCTTGGAGCCCAGACTGTGTGTGGATCTAGTGGGGGTCATCTCTCCACTGACCCTAGTGTCTTTCCTCTTTGCTTGTGAATGCCTCAGGCTGGTGATCAGATTGGCAAGAAGTTGGGCAGGCAGGACACCTATATTTTCTCATATTGAGGCCTGTAGATATTCTTACTTTTCTTTTTTTTCCCTTTTTTTTTTTTTTTTTGTAGTTTCACTTAATAATGGGAACTATCAATACATCCCCACATTTTGGAATACAAAATATAGACCCCATATGAGAAAGTACATAGCCCTTCACCTGACACTTGGCGTAGCTCAACATGTTTTTTGGGTTTGTTTGTTTTTTGTAAGGTTCAGTCTGAAAGTCAAGACCTCCAGACCTTATGGCAAAACAAGTAAGGCAGAAGACAAGTCTTATTGGGGACAATTCCCAGTCATCACAGCCAGCATCATGGAGGGCTGAAAGAGGCAGTTTGCTCTATAAATCCGCACCCTGGCAGCTAGTGGCTTAGCCCCAGGGTGCCCCCCGGCCACAGCCTGCAGACCTGCTTCAGTTTCTTCCTAGAATGTGCACCTCAAGGGGCAAGGTGTGTGCCTGGAGAGTTGGCCCCAGGTGCTTTGCATGGGCTCAGCCACCTCCAGAAAGCTAATGGATAGGTGAGTCGCCAAATATCCAGAGGACAGAGCAGAGGATGCTGGGGGAAGGGGCTTTCCCTGGATTTTCAGGAAAGCCCAGCCCAGAGGTTCAGAAGCTGAAGAGAACATAGCTAGAAGCCTCATTTTTTTGTGATAAACAGTGATGCGGAAAGTTCCACAAAGAAACACTAGCTCCTGAGTCTCCTTCCAGACGACGCCTTGCTTACTGTCTGGCTTTGAGAGGATGGCCTAACTTCTCTGAGTCTCCACGCCCTCACTATGGAGTTGGGGTATGCACAGTGTCCAGTGCCAAGAAGGCCTCAAATATGCTTTCTCCCCACTTGACACTCTGCTGTGGACTCAAGTGTATGAACAGGACAAAGAGGCCATGCGTCCTGTAGGGGAGGAAAAAATTCTCCTCTACCCTTGTAGGGTCTCCAGCTGGGCCTAAGAATTGAACTGACATAAGGCAGAGCCACAGAAAGTATATACATTTTACTAAAATTTCACATGTACATGGGAGACTTCACAAGAAAATGAGGACCCAAGGAAGTGACCAGAGCAGAAAGCTTAGCGACTTTTTGACAAAGAAACAGGAAATTTGTGGGCGCCTGGGTGGCTCAGTCGTTAAGCATCAGCCTTCGGCTCAGGTCATGATCCCAGAGTCCTGGGATCAAGCCCCGCGTTGGGCTCCCTCCTCAGTGGGAAGCCCACTTGTCCCTCTCTCACTCCCCCTGCTTGTGTTCCTGCTCTTGCTATCTCTGTCTCTATCAAATAAATAAATTAAATCTTAAAAAACAAAACAAAACAATAAATCTGTGAAGAAATGACCAGGCAAAGGGCTCTAGGCTCTGGATGGTAAATTGTGGAGAAGTGACTAGATTGGGGGGGCGGGACTAGTTGAAGATAGTGTCATTTTAGTGCATTTGCTTGTACAGATCCATTTTGACATCAGTTCCCAGAACCTACTTAATGATAAGGACATTCTTCGCTTGCTGGTACAGGGAAGGCACCTTCCTCACAGGGCAATTCATGGCCTGTTTTTAGGTAGAAAGGGGAGGTCTGAGAGCCTTTCCTGCATCTGCTATTTCTCAAGTGCCCTCAGCTCAAAATAATCAGTATTTGCAGTGGCATGTCCTGAATTCCTTCATCTTCAACACGTTTTCCAAGTGGTCACCTGCAGAAATTGTTCATTTAATACTCTCAAGTCAGCTCCAACACCTCCCAGCCAGTTTAGAGCAGAGGAGCTTGGCAGTGAAGGATGAAGACTCTGGAACCAGATTCCTGGGTTCAAATCCCCATTCAACCACTTAATGGCTATGTGGCCTTAGGAAAGTTTCCTTATTTGTAAAATGGGAATAAAAGTAGTAGTACCAACCTCAGAGTTTGTCTGAAAATTAAATGAGTTAACAACTGTTCCTGGCACATGGCACTCAGGAATGGTATTGCTATTTCAAAGTATCAATAAGTATCATTGGGGTGCTTGGGTGGCTCAGTAAGTTAAGCATCTGCCTTCAGCTCAGGCCATGATCCCGGGGTCCTGGGATTGAGCCCCATGCCAGGCGGAGCCCCAGGCCAGGCTCCCCACTCAGCAGGGAGCCTGCTTCTCCCTCTCCCTCCGCCCTTCCACCCTCCCGCTCATGTTCACTCTCTCTTGCTCTCTCTCTCTCTCTCATGCTGTCTGTCACTCTCTCTCAAATAAATAAGATCTTTTTTAAAAAACAGCCATTGTTATACTGATTAGCCCATCCATTTCTCAGAAGCCGAGTGTATATTATGGCTGTGGCCATGGTGACACAAACGTGAACAAGTCATTCTCTGCCACCCAGGGGCTCCTCCTGGTCACTGGGGGGAAACGGGCCAGTGACTAGAAAGACCATGGCAAGTCTGGGGCAATGGGGCAACACATGGTGCTGGGGGGTGGGGGTACAAAGGAGAAGTGGGGAGGAGTAGGGAAAGCTCAGGAGAGACTCCTAGTTCTTGAAAGATGTGGAGGAGTTAGCTAGACCAATGGGAGAAGGGAGGGCTGGCCAGACAGAAAGAGTAATAGGGAGAAATCGGAGGAGGTTTAAGAAAACACTCATTTAGGGGCACCTGGATGGCTCAGTCGGTTAAGCGCGTCTGCCTGATCCTGGAGTTCTGGGATTGAGCCCCATGGCAGGCTCCCTGCTCAGCAGGGAGTCTTCTTCTCCCTCCCTCTTCCCCCCCGCTCCTTCTCTCTCTCACTCCCTCTCTCAAATAAATAAATACATCTTTGAGAAAAAAAAAAAGAAAAGAAAACACTCGTTTATTAAAAAAATATGTGAGTGCTTCCTGTTCTGGAAACTCACATATTTAAAAAATTGTTAGAAAACAGTGAGTGCCCCTCGTTCTAGGTGCTGGGGAGACTGCTGTGAATAAGACAAAGTTGCGTTCCCACGGTGATTAGCTAACAGAGCCCACTCAGCCCCGCGCTCGACTGCATGTATCATGCTCCTTAACTACTAGGTACACTCACTACCCTAACCTCCATTTTCCATTCGGGCTAACCGGAGCGCAGACCCATCTGGGGACTTGGCCAGATTGGTAAAGTCGTAAGGAGCAGAGCTGGGATTCACACCAGGCAGTCTGGCCGCCGTTGCCTGCTCTCAGCCACTCTGCTCTGTCGCCCTGGAGGAGCTTGCTGACATTCTCACGACCTACTCCGGGAGCTACAAGTGGGTTAGCTTGGCTGGAGTAAGGCGTCAAGCACGGTAGGCGGATGAAGGCCAGCCAGTGACGGGCCTTGGCCGCCAGGCTGAGGGGCTGGGCCTTGACCCTGCATGCGGCTAGAGGATGGCCTGGGAGGGGCAAGGGGGACGCGGGAAGCTCACCCTCCCGGCGCCTCCGGTAAACTGCAGCGAGAATCCAAGCCGGAGACGACAACGGACCGGGACGCGGCGGCGGCCGAGGGATGCACGGAAGGGGCGGCTCGCCGAGGCGGAGGAGGCAGGCTTGCGGCGCCAGGTCGCGGGCGGCAGCGGGCCAATGGTGTGGGGCCGGGCGGCAGCCCCTCCCGCGGGGCGGGGGCCGGGCGGGCGGGCGGGCGGGGCGCGCTGCGGGCTCGCCGGGTACCAGCGCTGCCGCATCCCCGCGCGTTCCCCGCCCCCGCGCCGCTCCCGCTCCTACTCCTGTTTCCGCAGCCCGCGGCGGCGTCCCCGTGAGGTCTGGCAGGTCCAGCCCGCGCACAGCTCGGTCCAGTCGGGTGGGTGAGGGACGGCGGTGGGGAATTGCGGGGGGGGGGGGGGGGGCGGCTCTGCTCGGTCTCGCCTGGGCGGGTGAGGGGCCAGGCGCTCGACTGGATTCCGACCCCGCGGGGAGGGTGCCCACGGGCGCTCGGATCGCCCCGGAGTGGGCTGCACGGGGCTGGGGTGGGTGTGGGGTCGCGGCGCCGGAGCTGCGCTCGGACCTGGTCGTGGAGGGGCCGGGCTCGAACCCGGGACCGCGCGGGGGTGAGCGGGGGCGCCGCGGGCGTTGGGGATTCGGCTCTGTTGCTGCTCCGGGTGGGGGCATCCCTGGGGGTGTGGGAGGGGGAAGAGCTCAGGCCGGGCCCGAGGAGGGGAGGGGGCGCGCGTCCGGAGGGCCCTCGGGTTCGTCCCCTCCAGGGTGGGTGCGGGGAAGAGGGGCGCCGGGGGCGGGCCGGGGCGCCGGGGCGGGGCGGGGCGGCGGGGCCGCCGAGGGGGTGGTCGGCGCGCCTCTGACCGGGTTCCGGGACGCAGGTGGCGGCGGCGGCGGGCGCAGAGCGGAGATGCGGCGGCTCGGGGGCACCCTGCTGTGCCTGCTGCTGGCGGCGGCCGTCCCCACGGCCCCCGCGCCGGCCCCCACAGCGACCGCGGCTGCCGTCGAGCCCGGCCCGGCTCTCAGCTACCCGCAGGAGGAGGCCACCCTCAACGAGATGTTCCGCGAGGTTGAGGAGCTGATGGAGGACACGCAGCACAAACTGCGCAGCGCGGTGGAGGAGGTGGGTGCGTCTGGCGGGATGGGGCTCGGGGGGAGCGCCTGGCTGGGGGCGGCGTGGGCCGGGGGAAGCAGCGCTGCGAGCGCTGGCCGGGATGGTCCGTTCCGCGAAGGGGCCGGGAAGAGCCGGCGGCAGATTCGGAGTGATCGGGCGGCCGCGCGGGGTGAGCTCATCTCCCACCTCATTTTGACTTCCGGCCGAAAGCTCTGGATCTGAGCCCGTTCACCGAGAGTCTCCGGCTGGACGCAACCAGGGGCAGCCGGGGTCACCACCTGTTTACGGGCTGCTGGCCGCTACCCCGCAATTGTCTTTAAGCGTGCAATTGTCCCCCGCCCCCCTGTGTAAGCGGGCGCTTGCATGGCCCCTGGTATTCCAGCGCTGTGGTTTCGCAGAGAGGCTGAGGAAGCTCCGGGGATCTCAACTTCTAGCTTGTACGTTGGGCTTTGATCTTGTGCCATCTTCCCAAGACATAGTTAGGATGCCGTGTGAGGACAAAAAGCCCCGATAGCTTTGCCGCTTCTCTGTCTGGGCTTCCCCAAATGCCATGAGGCAGAGAAGGAAAATCAGAATCCTAAACCCCAGCAGTGTAAATGTTCAGATGGGGGTGGGGGAGGGGCACTGAAAGGCCGCCCACCTCCACCCCAGTACTGCTTTGGAGTCAGTCCTAGGCTCAAGGTCCTCCTCTGCCACTCACTAGCAGGGCGACATTGGGCAAGTCCCTTAACATCCTCTCCTGTTTCCTGTTAGAATTAAATGCCATGGTATGTGTGGGCACCTGTCATAGAATAGGTGGGCAATGTACAACAGCTGTTACTATCAGATACCACATACCTTAGCAAAGCTTGGCCTGGCTTCTTCCTTCGGTCACCTCCCAGGACCAGACACTATGGATGGCATCCCCTAGGGTGAGCACGTGGGTGTTGGCAGGGCTGTCTGGGCAGGAGGTACAGCTGGCCCAGCTCACCCAGCCCAGGTGTCAGGAGCTGTCCCTGGTGCCTGGGGTCAGTGGGCATGGTCACTGTTGGGCCTGGCTCTGGCTGCAGCCTGTTTTTGGAGAGAAGCCAGCCATCCCAGTGAAGGAGTCAGCAAGAGACCAGATGTCCATGCTGGTGGGTGAGGCGTCTTCCCACCCCTGCTTCTCCACATTCCACTAGGACAGAGCCTTAAATGCTAGCTCTGGTCTACACTCTCCCCACAACCCTGCCTCCCAGAGCAGTCAGCCTGATGGAGCATGCAGTGGAGGGGACACTGGATTGGGAGGCAGGTGTGTGGGAAGCTGTCCTGAACATCCACTGGACAGGCCAGATTCCAAAACCCATGGACAGATGTTCTGTTTCCTGCGAAAGCAAAAGAATCATGACATGGAATAATTAAAAGGAGCGGGGAGTTGGGTGGGCCCCCATATCTCTTAACTCTGCCCCTTCCTATTAACTGGAGTTCATGATTCTTCTGGTGCCAGGGCGGGTCATCTGCTTTCCTTATCTGGGTTCCAGGATTTTCCCTCCTGCTCATGGATTCCCAGTGAGACCGATGAGGTCAACTCCATGTTTCTGTTCTGTGTGAACTTGTTTGTGCAGCACGGTCTTCTACTGGGAGCTGTTGCTGGGGAAGGGGGCGGGGAGCAGCAGGGACCTCTCTGGTCTCTTCACTGATCAGAGCAGTTTGGGACCAGCAGAACCTGAGTGGCATAGCTCCTCCGTGGAAGTTGTCCCTATTGGCTCTGCCAGGGCCCAGCTTCCTCCTTCCAGATGCTACTCTGCTTGGGTTGTGAAGACAGGCTGGTTGAAGTTTGCCACCAGGAGAGTTGCTGCTGGCTGCTACCTCTGTCCCGCTCAGTGGGACCCCTGCCCCACAGAGTGTTCTCGATGGCAGTGGGGATAGGTTGAGAGAGGCTGAACCCCTGTGTGGCGGAACAGCTGTGGGGATCAAATCTTCCTTCATCAGATCCTGGCTCTGCCACTTACTAGTGGTGGGATCCAGGAAATGTCTCCCCCCTCCCCCTGCCCCCTTTAGGATAAGGGGGGATTTAAATGAGCTGATGCAAGTAAAGCAAGTTATCTGACCATCTAAAATGGGGTTAAGTAAGGTTGTGTGATGTAAGTCCCCCCACCCTGAGGCTGTTGTCAGGGGTATGGGAGATTGTTGGTTCTCAGTAAATAATGGCTGCCATTATCATCCTATCAATAGTACCAGCATGATGCCAACAAAGAACCAGCAGTATCTGATATATAATAGAGTCTCAAGAGATTGTGGCTATTAGTATGAATTTTTTAAAAAAGAGACTGCCAGAAAGCCCCTTACATCTCATCAACACAGGAGAGTTGCTGTTTACTTGTTGTCCAGGGGAAGGACCAGGCCAGATGAATTCGTTGTTTACATGGTTGCTCCAGGAATCTTCTTTCAAGTAACTTCCTGACCTTTTAAATATTCCAGCTGACTCAAGCTGTTGATTGCTCTTCAGGGAAAGACGAAGTTAACTCTACTTGTAGGATCATTATTTGGGGAAGCAAATGTTCAAATGGTTCAATCTAGGCTATTCCTACTTTCCTGTCTTAATATTCTGTGTTACTGATAAATGTGTTTTGAGGATAAAACCACTGTCTTTCCCTCCTTCCTCCCTGCTCATTGTGATATCTGTAACTGACATGTTCTGGAATATTCTTAGTCACCTCACCCAGTCCTAGGAAGAACCCCAGTACGATTCATCTCTCTAATTTTTCCTACTCTACCCCTTTAATGGACACACACAGTCAACCAACTATAAATGCCATATTTTATAACATGCACATTCCTCCTCTATGACACAACTTCTCTTGCTTTGGGCTTAAGTTTCTCTTGCTAGTGGTGGTAATAGTTGTGGTTGAAATTTCCATTGTAAACTGTACTTTGGGGTTCGTGGTGCCCTTAGAGAACTATTAACTCATTCTATTGAAATAACCACTGGTTGAGAGGGAAGAAGGTTTTATAAAAAGACTATCTGCTCAGCCCAAAGCAAACTCCAGATTTGGTAACTTGTCAATCATTTGAAAGCCAGACTGGAGGATTCTGATTCCAATGGGAATTGTAAAAACATGAAGACATCCCTTCTGCTTCTGGATTTAGCCTCTCCAGCATCTTAGTCTCTTACTCTTTTCCAGCTGTATCTTTTCTATCACAAAACACGCCAAGATCTCTCACTTTATTTTTTAAATTTTTTACTATTTATTTATTTATTTTTTTAGATTTTATTCATTTATTTGACAGAGAGAGACACAGCGAGAGAGGGAACACAAGCAGGGGGAGTGGGAAAGGGAGAAGCAGGCTTCCTGACGAGCAGGGAGCCCGACGCAGGGCTCGATCCCAGGACTCTGGGATCATGACCTGAGCCGAAGGCAGACGCTTAATGACTGAGACACCCAGTTGCCCCAAGATCTCTCACTTTAAAAAAAAAATTTTTTTAAGTCCTTTTCATGTTCATCCTGCCTCCTATCTTAGCTCCGTACCACTTCATTCTGTTAGAGAATTCTTCAAACACATGGTATCTACTGTCTGCTCTTTCCATTTCTACCCGAACATACCCTAGCAAACTAACCTCTCCTAAAACTGCTTTCTTACAGGACAATATTATGAAAGTAGCTATGTATTACGTCTGTGCTGGGTGCCAGGTACTGAGGCAGGCACTTGGATTTTATGATCCTTAATTATTGCATCCACTCAGCAAGGTAGGACCATCTCCACTCTACAAACGAGAAAGCTGAGGTGGAGAGACACTTGGTGTCTTGCCAAGGTCACACAGCTGCTTCTGGGCTGAGCTGAGACTTGGCCCCACCTTCCCTAACTCCAAAACCCTGGCTCTTCCTTCTGACATGCTGCGGGCAACATTTTGCCTTACCTCATGGCTAGCTCTCCGGGGCTTGGCCCACCTGGACTTATTTGTAACCTCTGCTACCTAGCGGTCCCCTCCTCCCCCAGGTATAACTTCCTACTCCCACGCCTCATTTTGGCCAGTTCCCTCACACCCCTCTCTATCGTCTGCAGATTCTTTATTATTTACCAACTAGTCTTTAGAACTTGTTACCCCTCCCCATCACCTGGAGCAGAGGTTTTTTCCTGGGGGCAAGTGGAGGGGAGGAAATACCTCTGAATCATTTGAGAAGCTCTTTGATACCTGGGATTGCACCTGCCGAAGTTCTAATTCAGCAGGTCTGGGAAGGGATCCAGGTGTGTGTGTGTAAATATACAGGCCTAACTCTCCTGGTTATATATCTATGATAGATACCTTTTTAAAGTTTCAGGTATGACTCTGATGAACTCTCCCAGTTGAGAACCAGGCCAACACCCTCTGCTTTAGAACTGCCCCTGGATCTGCCTGTCAGTCCCTCTTTCCTTCATCATCCACGATTTTATCCCATGCCCAGCATGGACCCTGTCCCCCAGCCTACAACACACACCATTCTTGTCCAGGCAGCCACAGCTTTGCCTCCTCTGTGCTTTCTGTTCAAATCCTACCCATCCTTGGAGACCAGCTCAATCGTGCCTCCTCCTCCTCCTAGAGGCCTTTCTTTTCTTTTTTTTTTGAACCCATGGCTTGCTTCTAGAAGCCATCATCATCATCCTCAAACTGGTTTAGCTGTGGGGCTCTGCTATCTCCCCAGTAAATGCATAAGCTTCTCAGGCAGGGCAGAAGCACATACTGCACAAGGCCCCAAATCTGGAGTCAGACTGACCTGAGTTCTGTCTGAGTTTTGCCGCCTACTAACAATGTGATGACGATAGACGGGTCCCTTCACTTCTCTTCACCTCGTTCTTTTCATCTGCAGAATGAGGGCAGCAATACCTTCCTCATGGAGGTGCTGTGAGTATCCAAGGAGCCATGCATAGCATCCATAGCATATCCAATGGCTCAGGCATAGCTGATGCCCAAACATGGAGGCCATCATTGTGGTGGTGATGATGGTGATGGTGATGATGATGGTGATGGTGATGATGATGATGGTGATGGTGATGATGATGGTGATGATGGTGATGATGGTGATGGTGATGATCCTGGTGGTGATGGTGATGGTGATGATGATGGTGATGGTGATGATGGTGATGGTGATGGTGATGATGATGGTGATGATGATGGTGATGATGATGGTGATGGTGATGGTGATGATGATGGTGATGATGGTGATGGTGATGATGATGATGATGGTGATGATCCTGGTGGTGATGGTGATGATGATGGTGGTGGTGATGATGATGATGATGGTGATGATGGTGATGATGGTGATGGTGATGATGATGGTGATGATGATGGTGATGATGATGGTGATGGTGATGATGATGATGATGGTGATGATGATGGTGATGACAGTGATGATGGTGATGGTGATGATGGTGATGGTGATCCTGGTGGTGATGGTGATGATGATGATGATGGTGATGATGATGGTGATGATGGTGATGATGATGATGATGGTGAAGCCAGTGATTGAGTTTCAGACATCTTGGCAATCCTCTCAAGGTCAAACACAGCAGTTTCTGAGCAAGTCCTTATTTGATCATTTGAGCTTTTGTGTCTTCCAGACTCCCCGCTTGGAGTTTTTGTGCTGCACTGAAACATGGCAATTCTTTCCCCATATCCACCCCAGCTCAGCAAATCTGGTTGGGAGAGACAAGAAAAGAGGTGCCTCATTTAGTACATAAGGGAATAGAAGACAGTGATTTTTTTAAAAAATAGGGGAATCTTTTTGAGGATTAGTTTTAAGAAGTAAAAATAGCTCAGAGTCAAAGATAGTGTTGGAAAACTGCCAGCCACCAACTAGAACTTCTCTTTGTGTCTCTTGTTTTAAATTCCTAGAGAGAGAGTATCTGGCTCAAACAGTCCATGATGTGGCCTCTTTTTGAGTCCAACCAGCTGTGAGCTGGCCCCATTATCAACTGCCCACTCGGGGTGGGGCACGGCGGTAAATCCATAGGGGAAATTGGGTACAGATTCAGGTTGACTGATATATTTGGTGTAGATGTCATGGAGGCTCATGAACCTGGAGGATCTGAGAACAGCCTCAGAAACCTGACGCCAGAGAGGAACACATGTGGAAGAAGAGCAAGAAGGAGGGTAGACCCTGGGAACTAGTCAGCTGACCCTCTACAAGGGTCCCTCTTGTACCCAAGAGGTGGGGTGGGGAAGGAGACATAGCTGTGGCCCTAACTCAGGAAAGGGGCTGTCCTGGGGGCTGTTTGGGTCTGCCCACCACCAGGCCCTACAACAAAGGTTTGGGAGCAAATAATTTATTTGGGAAGTGATCCCAGAAACACTAGGAGGAAATGGGAAAGTAAGATGGATGGGAAGAGATGGATGTGCTAATGAGCAGGTTACTGCTAGGCGCCACTGGGGCTCAGTCCACTGGGGGTCCTCAGAGAGAGACTGCCCCTTTGAGGGGAGAGGGAGCTGGGGTTCTTTCCCCCATAGCCTGTCCCTCACTGATTGAGGACGGTTCCTGGGGTGTTAACTCCCTAGCATCTGTGCAGATTGAGCACACTGAGCAGCCAGAGAGTGCTCTCAGAGAGAGACAGGGCTGGTTGTTGGCATGTAAGGCAGTTGAATGCACATGACCTCCGGGTTAGGTCACGGGGAGATGGACGGGGCCCCAGCAGCCCCGTTGGGGGCCAAGACTGTTCAATGGAAGCATGCTCAGATCCCAGCTCTGCCCTTTCCTGGCAGTCCTTTTTTTCTTTTTTATATGTCTAGTGGATAGACTACAGTGAATTTTTTAAGATTGTAATTCCAATGAACAGTGTTATATTAGTTTCAGGTGTACAACACAGTGATTCAACAATTCTGTGCATTACTCAGTGCTCACCAGGATAAGTGAACTCTTAATCCCCATCACCTGTTTCACCAGCCCCCCACGACCCTCCCCTCTGGTGACCATCTGTTTGTTTTCTGTAGTTAAGAATCTGTTTTCTTGGGGCACCTGGTGGCTCAGTCGTTGAGCATCTGCCTTCGGCTCAGGTCATGATCCCAGGGTCCTGGGATCGAGCCCCGCATCGGGCTCCCTGCTCAGCGGGAAGCCTGCTTCTCCCTCTCCCACTCCTCCTGCTTGTGTTCCCGCTCTCGCTGTCTCTCTCTCTGTCAAATAAATAAATAAAATCTTAAAAAAAAAAAAAGAATCTGTTTTCTTGTTTCTTTTTTTTCTTTGTTCATTTGTTTTGTTTCTTAGATTCTACATATGAGTGAAATCCTCTGGTATTTGTCTTTCTCTGACTGACTTATTTCACTTAGCATTATACCCTCTAGATCCATCCATGTGTTTGTAAATGTCAAGATTTCATTCCTTTTAGGCTGAATAATACCATTATACATATATATATATATATATATATATATATATATATATATACACTACATTCTCTTTATCCATTCATTTATGAATTGGACTGCTTCCATAGTTTCGCTATTGTAAATAATCCTGCAGTAAGCACCGGGGTGCATGTATCTTCAAGTTAGTGTTTTTGTATTCTTCGGGTAAATACCCAGTAGTGGAATTACTGGATTATAGGGTAATTCTATTTTTAATTTTTTGAGGAACCTCCATACTGTTTCCCACAGTGGCTGCACCACCAGTTTGCATTCCCACCAAGAGTGCACGGGGGTTACTTTTTCTCCACATCCTCGCCAACACTTGTTGTTTCTTGTGTTTTTTATTTTAGTCATTCTGACAGTTGTGCAGTGATATTTGATTGTGGTTTTGATTTGCGTTTCCCTGATCATGAGTCATGTCCTTCACTGACAATCTTGAGAAGTTATCCAGTCTCCCTGAGCCTCACTCCCCATTTGTAAAATGGGTATATTCACACCTACCTCCTAGGGAGGCTGTGAGATTTAAGGCTATATTATTTGTAAAACATTTCGTACGATGTCTTATCCTGGTGGGCCGTTAATGGTACCTATTACTGCTACCATTATTTGTAATTGCAGAAGAGGAAAAGAGAAGTGGTTCTTTTTTTCTCATGGACTGATTTATATCAAGAGAAAACAATTTTTCTCATTAAGTTCATTGATTTAATAGATGGAAGCAGAAGAAGCTGCTGCTAAAACATCAGAAGTGAACGTGGCAAGCTTACCTTCCAGCTATCACAATGAGACCAACACGGAAACCAAGGTGGGAAACAATACCATCCATGTGCACCGAGAAATTCACAAGGTAAGGGTGGCCGTGGCCAGCCCACCTCCCTTCTGTAGCTCCCCGTCCCATCAGAGAACTAAGGTCTTGTTTACAAATTTGATCCACAAGCCAAAGATGCAAATGAAGTTGGTAAAACACAGATTAAAAACCAGAGAAAGTGAGGGAGTTATTTAAGAGGGAGAGCTGTGTATCAGAACCCTAAATTGCTTTTGCATTTAAGTAATAAATTTAACTCTAAGCTGCCTGCCAGTCCGATTGCAAAGGAATGGTTGGGGCTTTTTATCATTTGATAAAAGGGTGCAAACAAGTGTCTAGGGAGATACTTCTCTAGTATTGAATTTGAGGAATTTATCTCAGAGGTTTTAATGTGTGTTTTAGTAGAGAGTTGAAATAGAGGCCATGTTTGGTGAATAGATCTTCACTGATTCCTTAGGAGGAACTCAAATGTGATATTCTCCGTCTTCGGAAAGGGAAGATGCTATCGCCACATGACTGAATATTCGTTTGCTGGTTATCCACTCAAATTTCTATAGCAGAGTTGTTTCTAGCCCGCCACATGGCTAAGTGTCTTCTGGTTTCATATCTGGCATGAGGAGCAAGCAGGTTCATTCCCCGCCTGACTTGAGGAAGAAAACGTTGCAAATCCAGAGGCATCGTAGCATTAGCCTGCCCTGGCATGAGATGTGTCCGGTGTGACTTAGGCAGGACGGGGAGGGCAGATCTTGTGAGCCTGGTTTCTCTTGAAGAGAGTCTGGTGCGTAGATATTCAGGGTCATTGGTAGAGGCTGTCGAGTTGATGTTCTATTGTGAGCATCAAGGAGCTTGACCTCAAAACTCATCTCAACTCATATATGCAAGGCCCAATGGCTCTCACGAGAGACTCCACTTTTGTTCAAGGGCCCAGGTAATGACTTGGTTGAAACAAGAGTGTTTCTGTGTCATGGAGCATAAAGGGGTCGATTTTTATGGGCCATTGCATTGATTATAAAGTAGCCTTTGTGTGGCTCTCCTCCCGCTGTGCCCAGCTTCAGCGTGTACCCCCAGCTGATGGGCCCAGCTTCAGTGTGTACCCCCCACCCCACCCCCAGATAAATGAATGAGTCACCTGCTGACCAGAATCCTTTAGCATTGCTCATCGGAGGACTGGAGAATATTTCCAAAAGTCATTGTTTTGCTTTTGTCAAAACCAATATTGAGTCATTTTCTTTGACAATAATTAGCTAACAGGTTTGGCTCTGCTTAAGGTTGCTTCTTGTAGATGTTGGAAAATCCAAGTGTGAGTCCTACCAGTAACTAGTATGATTTTTATTTTATTTTATTTTATTTTATGTTAATCACCATACATTATATCATTAGTTGTTGATGTAGTGTTCCATGATTCATTGTTTGCGTATAACACCCAGTGCTCCATGCAGAACGTGCCCTCCTTAATACCCATCACCAGGCTAACCCATCCCCCCACCCCCTCCCCTCTAGAACCCTCAGTTTGTTTCTCAGAGTCCATAGTCTCTCATGGTTCGTCTTAGTATGATTTTGAAAAATCATTTGAATTTTACGTCCCTCACTAACCATATTTATGAAATAGGGAGATCAATACATACATGACAGTAACCTGGGAGTCAGATGACTTAAGGTACGTGAGAGCTCATTGTAAACTACAAAGCGCTTGCAACAGCGAGTTGTTCTTCTATTCCTGTTTCTTTCAGTAAAGTTAGGTCCTCAGCACCATGGAGCGGCTTTCCAGTGGGTTCCATGGAGTGTCTGTCCTGTGCAGTGCTTCATGAGGGGCTGGCTGGTGGTGAAACATATTTGGAAAACATCTTAATTATTTCTCCTAGAGATAGGGAAATGCACATTAGTATAATAAAGGCAGTTAGAAGTCCTGCAACCTGTACCTGCAGTAAAAGACCGTAGAATTTTTAGAAACTATGCCATCAGTTAATTCAGCAAAAATCTGAGGATTTATTTAGCTAAAAGTATTAAAGTATGTTGGTGAAGACATGATCCTTATCTCCCCAGAACTCGAATTTGGTCCACTATGACAAAGTAGGCTGGGTTTCTACTCTGTTCTGGATGCAGCCTCCTTGTGATACTGGAGCTGGCAGGAACTTTACAGATGACCTAGAAATGAGGACATCGTGAATCAGAGAAGTGACTTATTCCAGGTGACACACTAGATGGTTGTTGGTAGCTGAGCCGAGACTCAAAGAACCCAGATGTCCTACCTCCTTGTGCCGGCATCCCTTCTGTTCTTCATCCCCAGCTCAAGTGTTCCTTAGACAGGACCTCGGATGGGGCAGGAGTGGCCTGGGGCGCTGGCAGGATGCGGAGGCTCAGCTTGGAGGCGTTTGCTGCCGATGAACACAATCAGGTGCAGACAGCAGATAGGGGAGCCTCCCTTTGTACTTAAGCACTTCTGAGATGAAATATTTCACCAGAATCTGGAGGGGGGCAGCTGTAGCTAAAACCTGCTTGCTTCTCGTGAGACGTTTGATGAGACACCCAGACCGGTCGTTGTTGAAAAGGACGTTGACGTTGAGTGTCGGGTGGTGAACCCCAAGAACAGCTCCTGCTGAGTATTTGCCGTGTGCCAGGCTCTGCGCTGAGTGCTCTGCACAGAGCCCCCTCATCGCTCCGCGGAGCAGCCCCGTGAGGTAGACTCTGTTGTGTTTCTGATGGCTGCACCGAGAGGGGCCTGTCCGCCCGACGGGTGGGCATTCTGTTGACTTTGGCAGACACTCTTGCTTCAGAAGATGGGAAAAAAAAGAAACCGGCTTGTGAGATTTGCCCAGAATTCCTTCTGTTTCATGTTCACTGTCCTTGCTCTGCCGTAGGTCACCAACAACCAGACCGGACAAACGGTCTTCTCTGAGACGGTCATCACGTCTGTGGGAGATGAAGAAGGCAAAAGGAACCACGTGAGTTGTCTTCTCTCCTGGGCTCACCCCCTTAGCTTGCGAAGGGTGCCCCAGACTTCAGGCCGTGGGCAGAAGGGAGCTCTCATTCACCTCTCCTGCCTCCTTTCTAGTAAGATTCCCCAGGTCCTGCATTTCTGACCAGAGCGATGCGGTCTGGTAACAGGCTCTAGCGCAATGCTCTTTGCGTCAGAAGCAACAGAGAAAGGAAATTCCATTGTCATTTGCGTGGCTCCCTCTCAGCCCTGAAAGGGAACAAGGAAGTACCAGGTACACTGACTGGGGGCCCCGGCAGCAAGACCTGACCCATCCAGCCTGGAATCCCCAAAGCCTCTGGTGTGGCCAGGCCTTTTGTAATCTCGGCCCTGGTCAGGCAGGTTGAGAGCAACAACACCTTAATTAGTGGAACCCCATGGCCTAAGGGAAAAGGGGTGTCGCCCCACTCCAGGCCTCATGCTCTGGCCCCCTTGTGATGGTTCCTACTCCACAGTGGCGTGCTGCTTTGTCCAGTGGCGGGATGGTTCTTACAAAATGACAGAGTCCTAGTGGTGGAAGGGGCAACATTTCACAGAAGGAGGGCCTGGGACCAGGTCGGGAGATGACCCAATTGGAGTCACTAGTCTCCAGACTCCCAGGCCCCAGGTGACTCAGGTGCACTTTACCTTCTCAAAGAGGTGGCTGGCTTCAGATGCGGATGGCTGGTGAGGAGTGGACAAGATGACTGCCACGTGACGTGGCCAGCCGTAAACATGTGTGCGTCCTCTGTGGGGACCCCAAGAGTCTTTCTGGGCCCAGATGCCTGACACAAACTTCAGCTACAAGTTCTTACCCTCCAAGGTGCAGAGCGCTTCCCTGGCCTTCCGAGGGGGTCAGGGATTTTTTCCTCAGCTCTTTTGGCATCATCACAGGAAGAGAAGTGTACCCATCGGAGCTAGGGAGGCGGTGTTGATGTGGTTGGTAGTTGGTGGGATCTTTTTGCTTGTTCCTGGCACTGAGTTCAGACATTTACTTCAGGCCGGGGGGTCCGGAGGGTTGTGTGTGATGATGGTGGCCCACCATTTGAGGGACCTGGGTGGGGGCAAGATCTGTGCTGAAACGGAAAGAGCTCCAGCAGCGAGGCTAGAAGCGTGAGTTTGCCACTTACCGGCTGGGTCACCCCGGTCACAGAAGCCTTTGAAGTGGAAACAGGATTGACTAAGGTCAGGAGGAAAGAGAAGCTAGCTTTCAAAGGTGGGAAGAGAGAGAGGGAAGGAAAAACAAAACAAACAGCCATAGATATGGTCGTGGTACCAAGAGGGAAAAGCTTCAGAGTATTACAGATTTAGGTCTGGTTGGGGCCCCATGAGAAAAGGAAAGCCTCAGCAGAAGCCATGGAATAGAAAGAGCAGGGAAATAGAACCCTCAGCGCGGTGAATTAGAGAAGAAAAATAGTCTTTGTTGTCAAGTGAAAAAAAAAAAGCATCTTATTGCACAATGGTCCATGTTTGCTCCGAGGAGCTTCTCAGAGCCCAGAGGGCAGCAGGTCTGACAGTGACTAGCCAGGAGCACAGGTGGCCTGCCACACCCACACCCCGTGCCCCCTGTGCTGGCCCCCAAGGGAGGGGAGCGGGTCAGGTTTTGAGCCCCATGGTAAGGGAACTGAGGCTCCGAGAGTGGTGGGCAGGGGAGAGAGAAGATCTTGAAGATGCCAAGAATGTGCTCGAGTCAGTGAATTTGCTCACCAGCTTGCCCAGGTGTGCGTGCTCTTGTGTGCCCATAGGCGTCTGTGCTTTGGGCCCAGCTGGGAGGCCCAGCATCTCCACACCTGCGAACAGTCTCTTGGGTCCACCCTGTGAGGGAGGACATGCGGTGCCTTTGTGCGGTGTGCAATCCAAACTCCCATACATGATGGCCTTGAGAATGCAGGAGGTAGACGGTAAGAGATAGAGCCCAGAAACCGAGTTTTTCTTGATTTCTGCTGAGGCCCTTGGGACAGGAACTCATTGAGTTTCTCTGTGGGAATAAATCCCGATTTGCTTGGCTAGAAAGGAGTTGTGGGGCACCTGATGCTGGACTGGCCAGTGTCTGGCAAATCCCATGGGTCTTTAGAGAACAGGCTGGAGACTTTTCAAGCCACCTCTGGAAGGGATATCATGTGGCAGAAATGGTGGCATTTCTCGTTGTCAGTGTGGCTTTGCCAAGAGTCGGAGAAGCGAGAGCTGGTTTCGCGTGCGCACAGAAGTCTCCCATTCAACTCCTCTTTGCTTCCCGGGTCACCATTGTCCCAACACAATTGGGCTAGGGCTTGAGCACCATCTTTACAGAGACAAGGAGCTCCTTTTAAGTGAGTAGGAAACCGTAAAGACTAGATTGCCTTCCAAGGGATGTAAAGGGATGGACGTCACCACTGTCCCTTTCCCTAGTTTCTGAATATAATGATTTTTGCAGTTGGTTTGGAAAGGCCTGCCGAGCTAAAGAAACTTTCTCTGAAATGGAAAAGAGAAGAGATTTGCCATTCAAAAGGACAAAATCCTATGCTGTTCAAACCTTAAAATACTGTAAACCTGGGCTGAATTTTCAGGATTTAAAATTCCCAGATGAATTCAATTACAAATCACCACCAAGCATGCCCTATTTTCCTTTCTTCAAACGTGGGTGTGTGTATTAATATGTATGGTAACCCGAGGAGGCCCCTGGAAAGTGACAGGCAGTAATCCTGTATGCCTGTCGAGGAAATTTAGCACAGAGTGCCCAAGGCATTGGTCTGTTTTTACATTCAGCTGTGAATGGGGAACAGGCCAGCGTGCCTCATTATTCCACCTGAGGGCCCCTGCGATGGTGATGGGGTCTGGCGTCTTTCTGTGAGGCTTTTGTTCTGAGCCCTCAGCCCCGCTCCCTTCACGGGCCAGTGGGTGGACTGATTGATGTTGGGCTACTTATGAGCAGAGGGATCAGAAAGAAAGTGGCGTGCCGGAAGCCAGAGAGGGGACAAGCCATGATGCATAAGCGAGATCCTTTTATTTATAGAACTGTGTCCCCAAACGTGAAGAATCTTGCCCAATTAGCCAAGGCCCCATTTTGAAGGGACATGTCCTCTCATTAAGCTCCGGCTCACAATGACAAAGCTTAGCACATCATGCTTTTGCTGTCTTTTCAGTTTTCACGTTAGAACGTGATCTAGAAGAGTGGGTTGGTTTGTTGTTCCAGCTGAACATACCCAGTTGGAACCTACAGGTTCAATCACGTCGAACCAATTCCAAGAGATTGCTCAAGACGTCTGAAGCCGCAGGTACATTTCACTGCCCCAAACAGCCAAATCGTAGCAATTCGAGTCACCAAGACTACCTTGGCCCAGAGAATGATCAGTGCACGGGTGGGGTTCCAGCTTTGTTTGCTCCTGGTAGCCTGACATTTGATGCTGGAGTTGCCCTTATCAGTTCAGTGGAATTGCTAAGGACACCATGGTAACAAGTCATAGGAGGTTTATTTTGACAGAAATGCATAGGGGAGAGCATGAGTCCGTTAGAGAAACTCAGTCCGCTCCCAGCGGCCCTGCCTCCTGGAGAGTCCCATTGGGCGGGGAGGCTAAGGTGGAGTCCCAGGCAGAAAAAGGTGTGAGGCCCACCTGGGTTCAGACCCTGTCCTGACCCTTATGAACTCTGAACTCTGTGATTCAGTTTCTTTGTTTACCAAACGGGGCTAATAATCCCTGGTTGGCAAAATCGGGTGAGAATCTAGGAAGGCAAGGTTTATAAAAGCTCTTTGTGTAAGGCTCATTATTATTGAAAAGTAATTAAAACTGGGTTCTCATCGGCTTCTCCCCTGGTTCCCAGCAACCTACTACAAAAAGAATGGAATCTGCCGGGCAGCTGAGGGTCTGTGTAAGGCCCCCACGGGGCTTCTCCCCTTTGATGTCTGTAGCCTGGGGCTAAGCTCTCCAGGGGCCCGCCTCACCCTCTGAGTCACAGGTTTCGCCAGAGCTCTTTGCTCAGGTTGACTCACTCTGCTTTTTGTCCTTTGGGCGAGTCATTTGTGTCTGGTTGGGGCGTTGGCGTTGGGAATACACACTGAGGGAAGGAGGGGCCACAGTGAGTGACAAGAAGAGTGGATGGTCAGGTGCTGACAAGTTGCAGGAAGTTGGCAGAATGTATACAGGTTTCTACAGAAAACAGACACTTAGGGTTGTAAGAGTGCTAAAATAGTCTTGTGCGAGCCTGCAGGTCTCTAGTCCTATAACCAGACATCTGGGTACGTTTGCATTTCTAAATTTATAGTTTGAGTTGACTTTGTGATTTCTGGCCAAGTATAAGGCCCTTGTGCCTTAATCCAGTAGGAAAAAATTATAGGAAAAATTGAGGCGCTCTGGATGGTTCTGAGAAATGGATAAACGATCCCCAAGTAAAATTTGATGTGGGTGGGCCGACTTTAAGGAGCAGGCATTTCTTTTTGAGCTAGAAGCAGACTATATTACATTATACTCTCCTCAACCTAAACATCCTTCAAAAGGGAGTTCATTAAATATACATGATTCTATTTCCCAAATCAAAATAGTATGAAGTTAACAAATGAGTTTCATATGGGTTTCATGTAGGCTGATATGAAGGGATGCCTTCAATAAAACGTTAAGTGAAAAAACAGCAATCGCAGAGCAGTATATGTACTACATAAAGTATAGAAAATACAGTCTACATCTTCTGCATATAAAAGAATCTCATTTTCTGAAAGAAAAAGTATGCATAAAAAGCTGAGCAAAAATATATGCTATATCATCAATAGTAGATATCCCTGGAGGAATTGAAATGTGCAGAGATTTTTCCTTTATCAATTTTTACATATTTTTAATGTTTTAAAAAGGAGCTTCTGAATTATTTATAATTTTGCCATAACGTCTATCTATACTTCTAAATGATTTTGCAAGTAGTTTCACTGTGTAAGTCCTAGAAGTTAAATGGGTAAGTCGAAGGGGGTGCATATCTAACATTTTGAGAAATACTGCCAAGTTTTCCTCCAGAAAGGTTGTGCTA